TGGGTTGACTTTTTGACTTTTTATTTTTTTTAACAATTTTAACATGGGTTAAAAAATTTAGTTTGGAAAGGATTTTTTGACTTTTTAATATGGGCTAAAAAATTTGGTTTAGGAATGACTTTTTTACTTTTTTAATTTTTTTTTTTTTGTGAAAGAATAATGTAATGATTATAGATTGAATGTGATATTTCATTTATTTTAATTAAAATAACTTATTTTATTTTTTATAATTAAAATATCTAAAAAAGCTCTCAAAGCATCTTCCTAAACGGTGCCTTAGGAGTTTGGCTTAGCGGGAGAATTGGCAACCAAATGATTTATCACTCAAAAGATCGCAGAATTAAACTTTACAACAGTCAAATACTTCAAACATTGAAAACTGGGCAAACCTCAAGACCTGGATTTGTCCGGTTATAAAAGAAATAATTTTTTTTGGTCAAAAGTAATCAGTGTATTTAGTTTTAGTTTTTTTAAATTTTATTTTTTTATTTTTAGTATTTTTTTATTTTTAGTGAATATTTTTAAAATTTTGAACAATTTTTTTTTTTTACTTTTTTAGATGCACCTCACTTAGATGTATCTAAAAAGTAAAAAAATTGTGAAAAAATATTTTTATAAAAAATATTTTAAAAATTAATAAATACACAAAAATATAAAAAATATATTGAATTTTTATTTTTTTTAATATTTTTGGTATTTAGTGAATTTTTTAAAGATTTTTTTCACAAATATTATACTTTCTAAATATATTTATGTTAAGTGTGTTTAAAAATTAAAAACATTGCTTAAAATATTTAAAAAATTCAGTGAAACCAAACAAATATGAAAAACAAAAAAGTAAAATTTTCTAAAAAATAAATTCTAAAAATTAGAAACAAACAAGTGAATGGTTTTCAAATCCTATTGCAACATAATAACATGATTCAAATCCTGGTGCAACATTTATTTTTATTTGTTTTGATTAGAGAAGAAATTTTTTATTAAAAATATAAATAAATAGAATGCACAAGGAGAGATTCAGAAAGTGTATAAACTCTCTTACTATTGCAATCCGCATCCATGCACAACTAACCCCTTAAACTCCCCATTTTTTACAAATTAAAGACAAAATAATGAAAGTAGTTAAGCTCGTAACTACACAAAATATATTACAACAAATAAGAATTTTAAGGAGCAAGTTTTTGTTCTCAAAAGTAAAAATTTTGTTACAAAAAAATATTTGAAGATCAATTCTTATCATCACGAGAATAGTCGCCAAGAGATTGTTCCAAAAAGGAAAAAATTGGACTTTTAGTAACAAAATTTTAAAAATATTATTAATAAATGTACTTTTAGGGATAAAATAATTTGGTCTCAAAAATGTTTATTTTCTTAGATAAAAATTTTGATCCCAAAAGAATAGTAAATAATCACTAAAAATGTCCAATTTTGTCACTAAAAATATAATAATGACACTTTTGGTAACAAAAATATTTCATTCTAAAAAGTGATTTTATTCCTATATCTTTGTCTTTAAAATCTTAATTTGATGTAGTGATATTAGACGACCTAAATCGGCAAGGCCAACCCTGAGATTTACGGGGTCTTAGATGGTCTTCGGAAAGTGGGACCCTTCTATATATATTTTTTATAAAAAAATTTATAGATAAAATAATAATTATCAATAATTTTTTAATAGGTAGGAGACTAACAAATATGAGGAATATTATATCACTTATCATTATTAAAATCATAAATTAAAATTTACTTTCCTAACATACAAATATTAAAAAAGATAAAATATGGCTTTGTTATTTTATAATTTAACAATAATCAACACTACTAACATTACACACAGATATCTGATAACAAAATGATTATATTGTTGTAATTGATATCTGATAATACACTCATAATCTACACAAATCATGATCCATTAAACAAAACTAGGAGAAAAATCAAAGAAAAAGTATTCAATTAAATTCTGATTAAGGCCAAGTTTGGGAAGACTAAAAAAGTGCACTTTTTGTCTTTTTGGACTAAAAAATTGAGGTTGAAAATATGGATGTTTGGGTTAAATATGGATGCTTGGGTTAACTTTTTGACTTTTTATTGAAAAATGTGTAATAAAAAATTGTAAAAATTAATTTGCAGGGAAAAATTTGAATTGGGAGTTGTACAGCCGTAATTGTTGACTTTTGGTGAATAGTGTTAACTTTTTAACTTTTTAAGTAACTTTTTGACTTTTTGACTTTTTTTGAAGTCCCCAAACTTGGCCTAAGAGAGAGGGCAAAAAAATCACCACAAACAAAATTAAGGTAAATGATAAGTGCCAAAATATATATATTGAGGTCAACTACAATAGTTAAGTTCATATCTATTATTACGTAATGATTTTAATGAATTTGTGTGTTGTGCACAAAATATGTTGGCAATTATAACTAGGGGGATTTATTAAGAAATCTTCTTCATGTACTTGTATCTCAATTAGTCTATAACATATTTTTATATTCTAATAAGTATTATTATTTGGACATTGGATCCACTAAATCTTAGTTCTCATATTTAAGATATTTTATGGATAATTTTACCTTTATAAATATTTTTTGAACACTTAGCAACTTGATGATGTGAACATTCAAATTTGACAGTGTAAATGTTCACATCACAGAACATTCACACTGTTAATGTGAATCACTCTATTTGGTTTCAATTTTCAAAATTCACTTTGGGGTATTTTGGGAATCACATCACATATTATTAGGGATATTTTGATAATTATATCACTTATAAGACTTATTGGAATATAAAAAAATAATTCAGACTAAATGAAATATAAATAGGTGAAGGATTTATGAATAAATGGCCCTTATAACTTATCTAGTTATATCATAAAACTAATGTTTAGAGACAAAATTCAAAAAGAAAATATTTGTGTTGCCAAAAGTATTAAATATTTTTTTTGGTGATGACATTGGAAATCAATAATGCTTGAGACCACTAAAAGTAGTGCTCTAAAAGCACCACTAGTGATGTGGCAGTGGACGGGACCCACTGCTTGTGTCTTGTTTTTTTTTTTTTTTTTTTTTTTGTTAAAGTGCTTGCCAACTCATTAGTGGTGCTTTAGAGCACCATTTTTAGTGGGATGTATCATTACCCAATTATTTCATCGTGCAATTATTAGCATTATTTTCTAAATTTTATTGCTAAAAGTTTTGTTATTTTTAACTTTTCAAGATAATTTATAAGTGACTAGTGGTGGCTATGGGCCCGATGACCTGCCTAACCCAGCCTAGCTCCAATTTTTTTTAGGGTTTAGGGAAAAAAATTAGCCCATAAGTTCAATTAAGTTGAGATTTTGTACCTATTTAATATTTGGGTTGAGATTGGGATATACATAATTTTGGGCAAGTTACGTGTAGGTCTTAATAAGTAAATTTATTGATCAATAGGTCATATAATAATTAATGACGTTTTTCATCAAACACTATAAAAAAAGTATCACTAATTATTAATTTTCAGCGACAATTTGAAAATTGTCATAAAAAATGTCACTAATTATAAGCTTTAGTGACAATTTAAAAGATCATCACAAAAAAATGTCACTAATTTTTGAAATAATTAGTAACAATTTTTGAAATAATTAGTAAAATTATTATTTTTAGTAATAATTTTACTAAGACTTATTTTTAATCAGATTTGATGAGAATTAAGTCTAATTATTAGAACTTATTAATAATTTTGTTAAAATATCATATTGATTTTATCAGTGGATTTTAATAAACTATATTTATTCGATTAAGTAGACGGGCTTAAAATTTAAAATTCTTTTAAAACTAAAGTTGGATAGTTAGATGAAGCTCAATGTCAAGCCAAGTTGAACTTGAAAGGTTTGTCCACCTAATGGAACTTTTTATGTACACATTCTTAAAAGATATATACTATATGTACCTTATAATTATAAAGGAAAGTAATAATTTTATATTTTTTGAGTAATAATTAAAAATAAAATCATAATCAAACATAAAAAAATTATAATTAAATATCTTAAAATAATGTTATAATTTGAAAAAATTAATCATAAGTAAAAGGGAAAAAAAACATAATTAAAAATAAATTGTTTATAAATAGAATTCTCCATTTTTTATATAAAAGTTTAGTTTCCAAATTATTTTGGGCAAATTATATATACCTCCTTCGAGATTTAGCTAAATTACAAATACCCCCTGAGGTTTCGAAAATTACAGATATCCCCTGAGGTTTATATTTTCATAACAAATTGTCCCATGAGGTTTATATTTTCATAATAATTTACCCTCTAATTTGTTATGCAAATAGTACCTTCAGGGAGGTATCTATAATTTCTCAAATCTCAGGAGGTATTTATAATTTTGTTAAATCTCGAGGGGTATATGTAATGGGTCTGGCTTTGGTCCAGTCCGCCATCGGACTGGACCGTACTGTTGGGCTCATGGAGGCCCACCACGGGTCCCGTTTTGAAAATCTGAACCGTTAAATGTGTCGAACTCATCGAATACTATATGCCTATAAAAAGTCACGTTGATCGGATATCGATAGCTATGTGATCAAATCAATTTTGTATAAAAAAAAATGAACGGTGAATAAATTAACGGTTTGTAAAAAAACTATTTTGATCACATAGCTATTGATATCCGATCAACGTGATTTTTCACAGGCATATAGTACTCGAGGAGTTCTACACATTAACGATTTAGATTTTCAAAACAAGACCTGTGGTGAGCCCCTACAGGACTAACAACACAGTCCAATCGAATGGTGGTATTGACCAAACCAGGCCCATATGTAATTTGCCCAATTATTTTCCATTGAAAATTTTGTCCATATGCAATAATTACTTATAAATATTTATCCCACAAATTCTAGAACGAGCTTTCCCTAGTCGGTGAAGTAAAAAAATAAATAAATGAAATGAAATGATGCCACTAGGCTTTTCTCGTACAAACCCTAGCTAGCAGTATATAAATACTATTTCCAAATAAATAAATAAAAAAAACAAAACAAAAAAAACCCTAAACTCCAAAGATTCGCAGAATCAGAAGAAGACGATGGAGAAGAGGCAGAAGGAAACAAAGAATTCAATCCCTCAAGAGATTATCTTCCAAGTACTGCAAGAACTTCCTGCAAAATCATTACTCAGATACAGGTGCGTTTCCAAGCTTTGGTGCTCCATAATAGACAGCCCACTCTTCATCACCTCCCACCGTGCTCGATCCCATACTCGACAAGGCGGTATCACAATCCTTATGCGTGCACAGCCTCGCCCTAGTCCTGATCAGCATCTCACCCACTTCTTTTCAATAAACCCACAAGGAATAGAACCACCTCGTCTCCTTCAAACACTGTCCGTTGATCATTTTAATAGCATACAGTTCGTTAATGGCTTGGTATGTTTCAACAACAATGTGTGGAACCCTAGCACAAGAGAGACCTTAGCCCTTCCACCCACTCCTATAACCTGTGGATTATTTTCGGATTTCACCGAATGGAGTGTCTTTAAATATTGCATGTTTGGTTTTGCTCCAAATAGTAATGAATACAAAGTAGTCAACATATGTAAAATATATGTTTCTAAAGGAGATGAAACAGGAATGGAAACTCGACCAGAACAGTGCAAGGTTTTGACACTGGGTCTCGGGGCTAGAAGCCTATGGAGAAATATTAATTTTGATTTTGATGATTCTCTCAGGAGTCATTAAACAATTTTAGAACTGGGGGAGTGTGTTGTGTTAATGGAACTATATATTGTTGGGGGCCGAATGGTCATGAGGGTAAGATTTTGGCTTTTGATGTTGAACACGAGAAGTTTAGATACATTTCTCTTCTAGATGATACAAATTTTTGGCTATGTAATCCCTTGCAAGTCGGAGAGTGTTTCGCATTGATAGATAACGATGTCAACAATGTTTGGATATTAGATGAAAGTTTGGGGGTGCATTGGAAGAGGGAGAATTTGATCATTCCAGGTATTTACAAATCTAACAGTATTTGGAGAAGGTTAATTCCTGTTGGTTCAATTCATAGAGGTGATGAGATTTTACTGCATCGGTGGGAAGAAGAAACAGGAGGTGATGAGATTTTTCAGCATTCGTGGCGAGGAGGAGGAGAAGAAAGAGATGAAGAGACATTCTTAGAATTGTTTTACTATGAGCTGCGAAGCAAAAGTTTGAGGAGGATTTGTTGTATTACTGATCTCCCAGGCCTACCCTGCGCGTTTGACATTGCAACATTGAATGTCTCTTTCGCTAAACAAGTGGAATGCTTGTTCCGGTTGAAGGGATAAAAGATTAAATCCCTAATTTTTCTACAATTTAGAAAAAGTGAATGAATGAATATATGGAGCAACATTTAACCTTTTTTGTTAATCTAAAATTTTAATTTTATTTGTAAGTTATATTTAGAAGTTTTATAGTAGCAGCAATAAGATTTTGGTTGTAAATGACTCTTTGAGTGTTAATTTTTTCTTTTTTTCTTTTTTTTTTGATAATAAATACATACAAATAGCTCTACAAGGCCTGGTAGATTGAAAACTACTGTCTTTCTTCAAAGAATAGGCGTCTTACCTCCTTCCACTAGTACCAGTTGTGTTTTTTTGTGAATCTTTTGATGAATCTGTTGTGCATGTAATGTTACATTGCCTATTTGTTTGGAGAGTTGGGTCAGATTTGCTATCATGGTGGGGTTTGTCCATGAGAAGTTGTGGAAGGCAATCCCTTGTGCTGTCATGTGGCCTCAGTGTGGAAAGCTAGGAATGAGATAAAGTTTCTAGGCATCAGTGTTAACAGGGAAGTGCTTGTGGATTTGGTTTAGATAAGATTGGCATTGTGGGCTAAGTACAAAATGCAAAATCTGCCATTCTCAATACAACCTTAATTCCTTAGGTGGCTGCCCTGTTTAGGTAATGTTGTGTTGTTGCATGTTTAGATGCTATTTATTGTTGTTGTTTGTTCTTTCTGCTCTTTGGTTATTCTGGGCAGTTGTGCATTTGTTGTAGATCTTTGTTATGGTTGAATTATCTTTAACCATAGGAATTGTGCTGCAGATGATTTTTCAGTATCATTGGTGCAACCTAGTTGGGATCTTTGATTTCTGTTTTGATGCTTATAGCATGATTCCATTTGTTTTCCCCTTTATTGATGTTCGATATAAGGTTCTACCTTGATTCTTATTCAATAAAGGTTTTTTCTTGCTGAAAAAAACAAAAACAAAAAAAAAAAGTTTTACAAAAAGATACATCAAGGAACAGAGTATTTGTATGTTACCATCTCAATGGGTCTTTATTATAAATGTGTCTTTACTTTAAGTGACTTCTGTCATATTTTTTTGGGTGAAACCTGGTGTTGGATGAAACAGAGTGAGTGACTCTGCAATGGGGACCTCTGGAGCTGAATTTTTGCATCAAACTCAATGTGGATATGTCTATTATGGCTGATGCTGCTCCAACTCGCTTAGAGCTCTGAGCTATTTTGGATTAAAGATTTTTAGATAAATTTGTTTCTTACTTTTTTGCCCTACAAAAAATTAAGGTTTTAAAAAGTAAAATTTAGAGACAATTATTTTTTAGGAATCAAATATTTTTGTTGTGAAAAGTGTCCTCATTATATTTTTAGTAACGAAAATTAGACATTAGTGATGAATTATTATCTTTTTGGGACTAAATTTTGTCTCAAAAAATAAACTATTTTGAGACCAAATTATTTTGTCCTTAAAAGTCTATTTATTAGTGATATTTTCAAAATTTTGTTGTTAAAAGTCTTATTTTTAACTTTTCGAGACGACCTTTTAGCGACTATCCTTATAACGATATAAATTGATTCCTAAATGTCTTTTGTAACAAAATTTTCACTTTTATTTGATCTCTAAAACTCTTATATGTTGTAGTGTTGTACTTTTTTCTTGAATATTTTTTTCTTTAGAAATATAATCTGAACACAAATCACTTAAAATTTTTGTATTTAAGTTTTTTTGTGACATAGTCAATCTTGGGTAAAATTTTATCAATCCGTTTTAGTATTTAGGAAAATGTCTCGTAGCTCGACTTTTAGAAGCTCGAAACGGCTCGAAATGGAGAAAGAGGGAGAGAAGAGAGGAAACAGAGGAGAAAGAGGAAGAGAAGAGAGGAGGAAGGGAAGAAGCAGAGGAGAAGCAGAGCCTCGCCACTGCCACCGCCGCCGCCGATCGTCGCAGCAGACCGTCGCCTCGCCCAGCCCCGGTCGTCTGCCCAGCCCCGCCGACGTCACAGGGGTGGTGGCTAATGTTGGGTGATAAAAAAAAAAAAAACTGAAAACTCAAAATGGAAACACATTTTTTGTGTTTTCATTTTTTGGCCAAATTTATAAACTGAGACCACTGATTTATAAATCAAAAATTTTACCAAACAAGTTTTTATTTGAGTTTTTTAAATTTTTGTAAATATAAACAGAAAACTGAAAACGTAAGTGTTACCAAACGGCACCTTAAAGTTTTTGTATTTAAGTTTTTTGTGAGTCAATGTTGGGTAAAATTTTATCAATCGTTTTTAGTATTTAAATCGTTCATCACCACCCCTTTTTAGTAATTTAAATTGTTCATTTTTTAGGTTCTTATGTATAGATTATTTATAATTTTAAAAAAAAAAAGATTCATCCTATAATTATAACCATATAATTTTATCATATTTGTCTTTAAAAAAATGAATAATGAGAATGAGTTTGAAATGGTAAATTATGTTAATGGTCCCTGTAGTTTGAGAGTTGTGTTACTTTGGTCTCTGACTTTTTAATTCTTATACATTTGATCTTGAATTTTAAATTTTGTTCCAAATAAAGACAATTAAAAATGTTGTTGCTCTATTTCAAAGGTAAAGTCGTCAATTTGATAAAATATAAACTAGTTTGACAAAATTAAAAAAATTCTTATTAAATTTTTAAAAATTATTTCTACTCATCAAAGATAAAATTATATAAAAATGATATTTTTTTTTTATTTTTTTTTTTTTTACCAAATTAATTTTTAGTATGTGTTTTGATGATGATCATGAATGATTGTTTTTGTTGATATTTTTTTATAGTTATCATGTAATAGATGATTGTATTTGTTGGTAATAGATATTTTTTTATGGTTATCATGTAACGGATGATTATTAGGCTTTTAATATGTAATTGATATGTTTAATATATGAAATATTTTTAGTTTTGGATTTTATTTATTTATTTATTTATTTTTGATTTAATGGATTGGTGTAATAATGATATCAAAGTTGTCATGTTTGATTTTTGAAAAAATAGAAACTAATTTAACAAAAATAAATATCAAAAAAAGTTATTTTAAAAAATTATTTCTATCCTACCAAAAGATAAAATTATTTTTAAATGATATGTTTTTAATTTATTTTTTTTACTAATTTAATTTTTAGTTTCTTAGAAAAAATTATGAAACTAAACCAAACATAACTTTATAACTAAAAAATTTCAGCATTATTTATTAAAAAAAGCCATTAAATTTCAAATAACATATAAATTAACCAATATAAAATAAGTTATATGATGATTTTGCCATTGAAATGGACCATTTGCAAAAGAATTATCTTTGATTGTCCTTATTTGGTGTAAGATTTAAAATTCATGATCAAATATGTCACAATTAAAAAGACAATAATTAAAGAGACACAAGTCTCAAATTACAAGAACTGTTAGTGTAATTCGCCTAGTTTGAAAATAAACTGTTCAATATTTTAAAACAAATATAATAAAATCATGTGATTATTATTAACAGTTCAATCTAATAGTTTTCATGAATGGTATTCTTAACATTTAGGCGTGTTTTGGGAGGATGGAAATAAGCAACTTTTTGGCTTATTCTTTGCTTTTTGGCTTATTCACAAAATCATTTAGGAAGTGATAAATTTACCATATTATCCTCATGTATTATTAATACATTTTTATTAAAAGCCATACAGACGAGGTTATTTTGGTCATTTCATGTATTAGCTTATTTCCCACTTCCCAAATGAATTTTTGGTGAAATATGCTAGTTTTTAACTTTTTAAAAATAAGCCAAATACATTTTTTTTTTCTTTATTCCCATGTAAGACTAGTAAGAAGTTTGTTATGACTTATTTTTCAAAGGTATAAACTATTAAAGATAAGAGAATTTTATCTTGGAATGATGCTTGGATTTCTGATATTCCATATTTATCCTTGAAAAAAAACTAGAAATCTCCTAGATGTTGATTTGTGATTATGTATCAATTTTAAGCAGAATATAACAATCCCAATCAAACAATCAAGACAAAGAGACACAACGATTTTACGTGAAAAAAACCACAATTGGACACCTCCAACTGTGATCAAAAAACCACGGGCAACAGCCACAAAACAATCCACTAAGAAGATTTAAAGCAATTACACAGGTATACTCTCAATTACCTAGCAAATCCACGCCTAATTGAACCAACCTCTATGTGCTTATTCCAACCCGTCTTCACCTCGGAATTGTCTTTACGATGAGCCACCCCGGAATCCACCAAAGCTTCAGGCTCGAATTCTTCAGAATCCACCGAAGAACAACTCTCTCTTTTGTGTATAACAAACCAAACCTTTGATGTACTCTCTTTAAACCATGAGTTGAATACTCAATAAAAATATCAAAGAAAACTCACAAAGTATCCCCAGATATAAACCCTAGAAACCAAAAAGAAGATCTGGAGTCGTAATCCTAAAATCTGACCCAACACGCGAATTTATAGAATCTGTCCCGCGATCTCCGCTCGAGCGCCAAACAGCCCGCTCAAGCGGCTTCAGCAAAAATATGCGCATGATATAACAGAGGTCCGCTCGAGCGCCAGAAAGCCCGCTCGAGCGCAAAATCACATATCTCAGTACTTTTGCAGGCGACCAAAACTGCTGGAACCAGGGATTTTCTGCTCGAGCGCGGGTATGTCCGCTCGAGCGGACAGGCAATTTTGAATGCATTTTTGCATTTTGCTTCGGGGGCGCTGCCCCCTCGACCCCCGCGAGCTGACCAGGCAGCTCGATCCCCGTCATAATCAGCGAAGTGGCAATCTTGAAAGCTTTAGCATCATAAACTTTTCTGAAAGGCACAATTCGGGTTGGATTCGCATCTAAAACACTCATAGCCTCACTGAAATAAAAGTGCGAAAATAAATACAACTGAAAGGAGTTTTGTCAAGCGGGATTGCCAAAAAATAAAACCTAACAATCCTAGGTTGTTTATAGTGGCTATTGACGAAGAAGCTTATGTGGCTGATTTACTCTTCTTATTTGATCATGATTTTGGTGGGAAGGGAGGGTACTATCACAGCATCCCACTGTAATAGTACGTTTGTATTAATTTTATTTTAATAATCTAAATTATTCATACTATTTTTATTGAGTATATATTCATATACAAAATGAGATTAATTGAATATGCGTAGTCCATGATTAGACCATAATTATTTTTAAAAATATTATCAAAATTATGTTAACCATTTATTTTTTTAAAAAATAAATGTGGTCATACAACATGAAGGCACGACACAATCCCAGATTCCGATTTTGGAATCTCAAATTCACAAGATGCTTTTTGTTTGGGAAGATTATTATTTATTCCAGAAAATTCTTATGGTGTGTTTGGTTGGAGGATTTGGAGAGGAATTTGGAAAGGGAAAGGGAAAAGGTGTGTGAAATTATGTGAAATTTAGACATGTTTTATTCATATTTCACCTATCTTTTCCATTTCCCTTTCCAAATCCCTCCTCAAATCCCTCAACCAAACACAACATTAATGTCCCCCTCAATTGTTCCCTTCTCATCTTTCTTTCAACCCCAACATAATTTCCAAAAGTTCGTCTGTTGTGTTTTTTTTGAAAAAGATTGGTGATATACAAACAAAAAGTTTGTATAAGAAATTCATATATAAAAAGGTGATAGATTCATTTTGAATTAACAAAAGAAAAATGCTATAAGTTCCAAATTTTTTGACAAATAAATGATCAAATG